CCTGCTAAAGGGGTGTTCGGGCATCTTGTGCTTACTTCCTTGCGTACGGATGGCAGCTGCGAATGACTTTATTTATTTTCTGGTGCTTTCACTTCCAGAGACAGTTATAAGCATTGCTGTGTAACTGCCTCGAGGGTGCTTGACCATTTTAACACAACGTGGTGCGATCATCCCCTTTGCGCGGAGTCAGGGTTCTCGACTCCTCACAGCATAGTCTACTCGACCACCACTAGATTACCGCAAAGAAAAACCAAAGAAAAAAAAAAAAGCGGTAGGGGTGGGGAAGGGTACTGAGGCCTCCCTGTCCCTGTCGCAGAGAGCCTGAAGACTCCCAAAACGAAACCGAAAACGCTTATATCTACCTTAAGCATGGATTGGGAATAACCTCTACGGGTTGGACATGAGACTTGCGCTATCATACTCTCAGCGTTCTGTCTTGTTTCTTGCACCAGGGAGTTGTGCGTACTACCTTGATTATCTCGGGCAGCTTTTCCGCTTCCCTCCTGCGAATCTTCACGGCCTTGAAGTTTTCCTCGAACTCCTGCGCCGCCGCGACGTGGGAGTCGACGAAGCTGTCGAGGTCTACCTGACCCAGCACCGTCCAACCCTTGTACGTCTCCTGTTCACGTTTCAACGCGAACACGAACAACCTTGATGTAAATGATACATGAGGATTCAAGTCTGGAAGGATTTCAGAAGTGCCGACGGAGTGATGAACGTTTGGGCTGACATGCCCCTAACTGGTAATCACAGGGAAGGAACATCGCGTTCCTTAACCTCCTTGCCTTGACTAGACTCGGTGTTTTTCATAATTTATGGGAGACGTAGCAAGCTCCCTTGGAACCAGACAATCACGCTAGAACATCGTACTTGTCGTTCTTTCTTAGCCAGAGCTGATGGCATATCTTGCGACGGCGACGAGCATTAGAATTCTAGATAGACTTTTCTGGCAATATCTTTTCAAACACACCGACAGTCTCAAAGAACACGCTCTTGTTGGTTACACACGTAGATCTTGCACGGTTAGCCGTAGACACGCGAAACGTGTCGTGCCCTCGACGATAGGTTGCCTTCGGCCGCAATGGGTTCCTGCTGGTCTACTTTCCGACAGAACCAAGTGATTCAGTGAACCGAATGGAGAGAGCCTTAGAACCTTGAGTAAAGCTCACCACGAGCGCGGCAAGGCGCTGGAAGATGCCCTCAGCTTTCTCGTACACGCGAAGGAGCGACTTGCTGTTGGCGGCTGCCATCTTATGGTACACCTATTCGTTTCACACGCGGCACAGCGAGAGCAAGAAATTCCCGGCAAGAACAATTTGGAGATTTTCAGCGGCAACCAGAAGCTTGATTCTTGCCAAGATCTCTCGGGAGTTCCCCCTGTACAGAACACTCCTTCAAGAAGCCCCACAAGCAGCGCAAACCACGGCTCGGCGAATTGCACGCGCTTGTGCCCTACTAGCATCATGGCAACCGGCAGCATCGCTTTGTCATCAGAGCCCAGTCGACACAGCCTAGCGATCGGACTGTCCCTACCGTGTACCGGTGAGGCCGTTGGGTCACATCGGAGGGTTCTCAACGAAACTTAATTTTTTTTGTTCGTCATCAGTTCCAATCATGCTTGTTTCGAGTGCTATCATTCGCACTGCTGGTCGTCGACGACGCGCAATGACGCACACCTTTACGTTGCCGAAGCCCTCGAAGAGGTTCGGGATGCTCACGAACTTCTTGGTGTCTCGGTAGTAGGAGGCGCGCAGCTCTTCCAGCGGGGGCTTGAACTGAAGCAAACGTTGCGTGAAGACTAGCTCGGCCCGAACCTCTCCGAGGTTTTCGTTTAGAGATTCGAGGCCCATCTGATATCCCGCCTCGAGGGCCTTGTACATCTGGTAAGCGGGCAAGAGAAAAAAGCAAGCCATCCGGCGTCATGTGTGGTTTTCTCGTCCCGTGGAATACGACGACCGCAGGCGGTTACCCCGACGCTAGGGCCTTGTACATCTCATAAGCGAAAATGCAAACCTTCGGTGTGACATCCGGTGTCATGTGTGAGTTTCTCGTCCCATTGGGCAACGACAACGGCAGGCGGGGTCCCAGATGCTAGGGCCATGTGCGTACCATGAAAATTGGGCAAACGCTCGGTAGGCGACGGCGCTTTCAACCTCGGGAATATCTGGCGCTGCCATGACCTGACTAAGCGAAATTCGGGCGGGACGCTTTTTCTGCTATGACCGACAACCAGCTACAACAAGACCATGTCAGCGTTTGCTACATAATGCAACACCGACATCCGCATCAACGCGACCACGACCGTAGAACCAGGTTAACCTTAAGCAAGGCTTGAACTAATAGTATTCCTTACTATCAAACAGTTTCGAGCTTAACACTCAACGAGTACTCTCGAACCCAAGTGGATAAATGCTCTTGGAGCGTGAGACAAAACAAAAATGAGCCAAATCACCTGGTGGTCCCAGTAGGTGATCCACTGCTCCACACTTGAAGCCGAGTACTTCGCTTGAATGCCGCTCACCACTTCCCTGAGACCATTGGCGCAGCAAACAAGTTTTGCCGTCTTTTCAACTACCTCGACTGGGTATGTTGCCTGCCACTGGGTGTTAGGGCTTTTATGGTTCTGTCACCTTATCCGGACGGGAACGAGTGATGCCAGTCAACACCCCCAAACGACCATCTGCAGAAAACAAGCTGCCCTTGCTACAGTGATGGTTTACCGTGCCTACGGTACCTTATTTGAGCCCAGTGCGTCTTCCAACGGTCTCTTTGCCGAAGGAGGTCAATAGACATGATGCCCGACACGAGGGATGACAGCGAAGCATGCACCTGCGGCGAAGATGAAGAGGTGGACGGTGGCGTAAGTATAGGAAGCACTGGTGGCCAGAAAAAAAACATAGTGCGGCCGACGATCGCCTTTGAGCGTTGACAGACGGATGACGTGTGAAGTCAGCTGTGTAGTGAGCTGGTTGAACTCTCAGACCCTTGGCATCCATTACGAATATTAGAAGAGTTTGCCATGCGGGGAAAACGGATGAGGAGGACGTCAGGGGCGGAGCGGCCTACAAAAATAAATAGAATACGAACCGGGGTATTATCCAAGACAGGCCGTGCGCTCTGGTAGCGCGTAGAAAAGCGGTCAATGACAAACGACAGCCACATCTGCCGTCAATATTGGTCCCTAGGGTGCTGGTTTACAAAGTCAGCAACAGCCACAAAAAGCGAGGACGACGACGACGATGACAGCGACAATAAGAGAGGCTACAGTGACGGTTTCCATACGGTTGCAACACCTCGCGTACCTTTCTCAACCGTCTATTCTCCATGGACAAAGTGTCGGCCGCCCGCTGAAGCCTCTCCACGTAGTTCTCACACTCCACGGGATTACTGTTTGAGAAGCAAGATCGAAACATGAATCGTACTGGTGTAACCCGATGCCCGGTTTCATCGATGGACTACAGTTGCATTTTGCTAGCTGCGCACGGTTTGAAAAATATGTCTGTCCACAGCCCGACAGCCCAAAGATAAATTGCGAACTCGTTCATGTAGCTCGATGATATGACCCTACAGTATATGATCGTTCCGGCAAATTCCTGGTCATTCCCGAGTTTCTAAAAGTTCCTGGTCGGGCTACACCGTTCGGCAGTATTTCGTGCGTCCAACTGGCGCTTTGACGGTAGGATGCTGGCGTTTTGTATTTAGGAGATACCTATCCAACCATTCAACGAAGAACGCACACGCGAAGAATCTTGCAACATCCTCTTCTGTTCTTGCTGGCATATCGCGAAAGATCGTCGCTCTCAAGCAAGCCACTGTTCTGAATAACGATGCGAAACTTAGGAAACATTATTTTGAGTCATGAACAGCTTCCGGGCTTCTAGCTGGATGTCTCAGAATAGAAGCAACGCAAAAGCTGGCAAACACCATGATGTTTCCCTCCCCACCTCCAAGTCACCGAAGTCCGCGTGCTTCCGTCTTTTCCCTTCCTGGCTAGGGTTGGCTGCATCACCACCTCTTCAAAGGCCAGCAGGGAATCCAGAAGCATCGGCTTTTGCACGAGGATCACCTTCGCATGAACAGCCGAACACCCGGACTTCTATCACCACAAGTGTGCACGCCAGAGGGGTTGAATTCCTAAACACCGATATATCCCTACCAAGTACACTCAACAGTATCGTAGCGGCTCCGAGGCTTTTCGCACAAGGTACTGTAATAGGTCAACCGAACTCTCAACTAATGAAGAAACACGTTTCAACGTCAAAGCGTGAAAGGAATCCAATCGGTTGCTTTCGTTCATGAATACCTGCGAAGCCATGTTGTTGTAGAAGTTGGCCACCTTCTTGAGCATCACCCCGTAGCGATAGTAAGTCTCGCCCTCCGCTGTGACCTGAAGGCGGCGCGGTCCATGCGACACCGTCCAATACGCGTTTTCTCACGTGACTTTTTTTTTTTTTTGTCTTCACTTCAAATCAGCGCTCACAGCACTAGTGTCGTTTACTCCAACCCGTGGTCACACAGAAGAGCCCCTCTCTACCCTCCCCTTCTGCGGTACTTTGCCTGCGATTTTTAATGCGAGAAGAGTTCAGCACTCTCTTCCCTCTGTGTACACACGAACTAGCGCTATCCACTAGGCCAGGAGCGGAAGCGAGAGAAAAACTCACTTTGCAAGAAAAGCTTGCTTACGCGGGGATTCGAACCCCTGACCTGACCTCTAGAGGGTTGCGAGGATACCAACTAGACCACCGGGGCGACCGGCCCTTAAAGCATGATGGACCCCAGCGAGGCAGCAAAGAAAAAAACTGCCTGTCCGCTTGGCAAAACCGTCTGTTGTGATTGATGCCGCAACACCCACCGTTTCAGCGATGGCGACAACGACGACGGTGACGACGATAACGACGAGCACGACCGACCGCCACGCCAGCACGAGCGAAGATCAAGGACGCACCTTCGATATTTTCGACGGGATGGCATGCCCCAGCTCGGACAGCTGGCGCACCTCTCGCAGCAGGGTCACCAGGCGTTCGGAATAGTTCACCACCAGGATTCCCCTCTTGTCGATGTCCATGAGCTGGAGGAAAATTTACGGTTGTTGTTGTTGTTGTTGTTGTTCTTGTCTTCATATTGTGACAACCATTGAAGAAAATCTTATCATCAATCTGGCAGCGCTGTAAACAGTTGGTCAAACACAATACTTGGAGGAAACAATATATTTAACGAATATGCCCTTGTTGGTATCGATGCATCGAGAAAGAAACGCGTAACACCAAGGACGCCGACCACGGATCTAAAGTACCCAAGTTGGCGCACAGTGGCTGCAGCAGCAGGCCGCGAAAAGCGAAGTTTCCCGCTAACCCGCAACCCAACCTGCCTTTGCGTTGTGCGTTGTCGAAACACTTCGTACACATTTCTAGACTAGGCAATCTGGGCTTCCAAGGGGGCGGAAATAATCAACGAAGACACACATAGACTTTCCTCGGGGGTTGCCCACGGAGAGGGCATTGGCTTCACCGTCGCGAAAAACTCACGTCATCTCAGGTATTTGCGCCCATCGTAGACACCGTAATTGTTTTTTTTTTCTCCCATCATTGGACTCTGTCGTCTGCCCCTCTGGCCCCTGTCCTCCACTTCTACTAGCTAGACGACCCAACCGGGGTCGCATAGTAGGGGGGGTTTGGACCCCCTCCTGCGGTTTGTAGTTTTCGAAAATATCTCTTCAACACGGGCCACCGTCAATAGATTACCTCAGTCGGTGTCACGTGTCAGGTGCCGAATGCAAGAAAAACCTGAACGTCAATCCCTATTGGTGGAGGGTTACATGGTACAGGTGTTGTACATTCCAAACTACCGGCGCAAATGATAGGAGGTACTGAGCAGAGACCGGAACCGTTTTGATGTGAAGACAACCATAGACTCTAATACAGATTTCCCTGGGTGCTACGATGTAGTGCAGCGATCTATCTTTATCGTGTTTCTCATCGGTCGTACCTTGCCCCGCATCTGTGTGCTGAGCTCTCCCCCATCCAACCCGTCCTGCACCTCCTCCTATTGATGATGTTGATGATGTTGATGATGGTGTCGATGCAGTTGGTTTGGAAAGAGAGGAGAACAAAAGCAATATGTGCCGAAGAGAACGGATGGTAAGGGTACATTGCTGCACAATCAAGAGGTACAAATCCAGATCCATAGGCGAGAGAGTCTTGCGCAAGGTATCGCGACCGGGGCGCGCGGGGTGGTGATATACTGTTATTTGACATTGTTGTGCATCCTAGACGTTCCTCAACACCGCTACATACCTCCTCGTGCTGCTACTTCTTCCGTATCCGGGGGGGAGGGGGGCAGGGGAAGCAGAGCATCGTGTGATTCAAATCGCTCTGTGGCTATGTTGGTAGACGTTGTACCACACACATGTCACTCACAATCTTGTAGCTCGTCGGAGGAACAGCAGGTGCAACACAAACGACCTTTGAACCACCACCACCCCCTACGCAGTCTTTGCAGGTGTCTTTCTCCAAAGGCACAAAGCTTTGAACACATTGTTGTGCCGTGCTTAACGACAAGGGATAAAGCTGGACATGCCATGCAACCACCATGCGCCTTCGGGTGATGCATTGCACTACTCCCAGGTGGATAGTCCATTAGGCTACGAGAGCCCTAACATGCCACAAGGATAACAAAAAAAGGTCGTCGGAGCGCCAAGGTGGTGCAATTACGCCATGATTTGCCAATACCAACTTCAAGGCGATAGTACCTGCCATTCCTCGAAAAGGGAGGCCTCTCGCCGCCTGGTCTTCCTCACCAACTCTGAAGAAATTTCCTCGAAAGCTCTGTGAGAGGGAGGCGAGTGAGGGCGGTATCGGTAGCTTCAACCGGCAGCAGGAATAGCGACAGCGAGAGTCCTCAAGGATCAAACGGAACACCATGCGGGCCTAGCTCGACCAGCAAGAAAACCTCTATGATGTATCTAAAGTAGAAGATGTCCGCATTTTCTACCCATGCTTAAGTTCAAACTTATTGTCGAGTAAGAGACATGGCAACATACAGACAGGGTCAGAGTCCGACACGACTTCAGCATGAAGGAATCACGCAGGCAAACAAAACGGTTGTCTCCTTCCACCGAATGTTTCGGCAGGACAGATGATAATGATGACCAGTCATATACCTGAAGCTAGATAGGTCTGAGAGCACGCTGGAGGCGGCCTCCCCGGTGGCCCGGACACGTGCGCATAGCTGGCGGCAGTACACCACGCCACGGATCTTAATAATCGAGCGTTTCGAAGCAGTACAGCATGGGCACACTTCGTGAGATGATTCGTTGATAGGTAATAGTGACGTCAGTGATCGCTCGACGATGTTGGAGTGTCAGGCGACATCACATCAATCCTGTGGAAAGACAGCCACGCAAAGCTACCCTTCTACGAGCACTTGTGGGAGGAGCCAGAGACACGGGACATCCAATCCATGCTTGATTCGTCGTACTTGGGAATGAAACGAAGTTCGAAAATACAAGGGGCCCCGATTATCGCAAACAACCCCTACTACTTCGTAGCTGAAAACCTTTGCTGCCCCAATCAATCAGTGTCTTCGACGGCTGGACACCACTCCATGGCTTACTCTGGGAGACAAGTTACGACCCCAAGGTAGGGTATCGCCAGCCGCAGAGGGGTGGTGGCCATGAACTCCGGAGGACAGGTCTTGCTCGTCGAACGCCGCCTCCAGCTCCGCCTGACAATGCCGAATCGAAACGCAGGGTAACATCCCCGGCAGATGTAAGGCCACGAAGTTCCAACAGCACTGGTGCAAAGAAACCACCCCGAAGTTCAACATCGCCTTCTGCTTCAACAGCACCTGGGCACCCATGCGGGCTGTTGTTCCAAACGCAGTAAGATAAGATGCTTTTCTCTTCGCGTACGATGGGGAGGGTCGCTCGTGAAGCACGAAGATGACCTCACACGCGAAAAACACTAAATGCTGTTGCTGCAAGCATGGATGGGCACGACGGCATCTCTGATCCTAAACGTACTTGCGGGAATGGGGTATCGACGTTCTTTTTGTATTTCTGGTGTGCTCTTGACTCCGCGAACACTCCTCGTAGACTATCAGGTCAGCGAGACCACCGTCCCGTAATTTCTTATTGGAGTGGATTCTCCTCGAACTGTTGGAAACACCCAGCAAACGTCCCCCAGCATGCTGAAGCCAATCAGCGAGCTTCCCTCTCGACACAGTGCTTTGTTGACGCGCGCCCCCGTTGCCTCGTACGTTTCGACGCTCACCATCTGCTCCGTAAGCTGACTGAGCAAGGCCTCTCGTTCGCTCCCTAATGCCTCTCGGATCTGCCGCCGCCTCATCAAATTGGCAAACCTTTCAAAAAGCAGGTTTTAAGGTAGACTAGAGTTGAGTTTGGGGGGTGGAAGCAATAATAATTACAGGGGTGGACGGTGTGGCTATGTTGAGATCGGTTGCGTTACATGGTATCACCCTACGCACAAGGCGTTTCTGCCCTCCGCTAGTGAATGAAAGCCACCTCAATCTGAGTACAACACGTTGCCTGGGAGCCAGTACTATTCTAAAAACGCCCGTTCCATGTGGTTTCCCCGTCAGTCATACCCCCGCACGTCAGTCGCCGTACCCACGCCTTTTACCTCTGAAACTCCTTCAGGAGCAACTGAGGCCTCGCGTTCATTCCCCCGATGCGCCTGAAGACCAGGATGACAAAGCAAGGATTGCCACAATTGGCGCATTAGTTAGCCGTGGCCGAGAATAAGGACAAGTATATAACACGATGGTTGAAACTGGAAGCGCGGGGGAGGGGGGTGACTGACTGAAGAAAGGCGGTGGCTTACAGGCTGTGCAAGGCTGCCGAAGGCAACTTGAAGAAACAGATGGAAAAAATTGTTTGAGTTCTGAATCAAAACGATCTTGAGGTGGCTTTCGTGGCGGCATCGCGTCCATCCTCGTGAAGAAAAACCGCCCAAGCCCAACGAGAATAAGCCAAGTATGTATTGTACATGATGTCCACTCCTGGGATTCTCGACCTCCTTTTTTTGTTCAATATTGGCAGCGAATGCAATGGAAGGTGAACCGTTCGCGTCTGCCTCGTAGAAAATTGGGGAAATATTGTAACAGAAAAAGGTCGGTCACGAGCGTAGCTCACTCGCACATGCACCCACCCATCTCGCCAATCCTCTTGTCCATGCTCGTAGTGTACAGCATACCACACCACCTAAAATGGCAGGAAAATGCAATTTACTCGCCTGCGGAAGCTGTTGGCAGCTGCGGTCTCCAAGGGCTGCAGAGACTTCTCGAAGTCCTTTACCCGCGACTCCCACTCCTGCTGAGTGTATGGGTTGTAGCTGGAGCAGAATTTCGGCGACAAGAACCAACAGCAAGTCGTTCAATTAGTCCACAAGGTTGCAGTTGAGGCAGGACTACATGGAGTACCGGGCTTCAGATTTGCCCGATATCCCCAGGCGACTGTTTTGGATGGTTCTCCTGAAAAGCCGGCAGCAAACTAGTCACGGGATGGCAATGGGATCGGCAGAGATGCGAACCAACTCTAGCGGTCAACGGGTGCATGGAAAATCCCCCTTATGAACAGTGCAGGGAGTAGCCTGCTTTGAGCTGGCAGCAACACGATGGCGAGTGCTTCGAATTCAATGGCAGGACCCGGCAAAACAAGCACGTGGGGCGAAAATAGCAGTAGCCGAGTGCCACAGAAAACGTGCCGTGACTTGCTCCGTAAACACGACCCTCAAAGCGCTACCGCAGAGCGAGTCACGTTGGGCGTTGGCAGACGATGGGCCAAGAACCGAAATTCCGCCGCTATGCGTGCCGAAGAGTGCGCGGCTTTTCTCGACTGGTGATAAAACGTGTCGTATGCTTACGACAAGGCTCAACCATGGGCACCCGCCGACAGTTTCAGGTCATGGAAAGGCTTCACCGCGGCGTACCTCAGCGCAGACATCTCCCGGAACGGCTTGAAGATCTCGTGGGAGTCGTCCGCCATGCCGCCGCCCCGTCCACGTCCGAGGAGTCGTCCGAGCTCCTCCCGCGTCGTTCTCAAGCGGTGGATTTCCTGGTGTCATCGTTTCATTTCGATTTTTTTGCATGATGAGCGATGTTTCGGTACGTGTGAGAGCATCTGCGAAAGGAGGCGCTCGAGACACCCTGTGATACCTACGGTTCATCGTCGGCGCCTTTTCCATGGACATCGCAAATGCAAGAATCAGGAATTGAAGAGTTTGGCGTTGCACGCTGCCGTATCAGGGACTGGCCCGGAGAAGCAGGTTGTGGCGGTTCTGAATTTCGACGCATGTTTTTTTCTTTCGATGGAAATATCAATATGTTGTCTCGTGCCGGGTGATGATGAGATTCTCCTTTCGACGGTCGACTTCACACGTCCACGCGCTATGCCCTTTGACGTAACCAATCGCTTTCCACTCGCTCGTGCCGTGCATTTCGACGCAGCCAACCATTTCCCGTACCTCCAGCCTCGCCGCTGTGCCCGCGGTTAGGTTGTCGACGTGAGGGTCGCCTTTCCAAGGGTGCTGAATGAACCCCGACCAGTAAGAAGAAGAGAGTTCCTCCGTGATGCGGCACCACTTCGAACAGATCTGACACATGTCCGGAGGAAGAAGAACCAAATCTTGTACGTGCGTTGATAGGTGAGCAATGCGCGTAGGGACCGCGGTGGAACTTGTCCATGCTTGAGGAATTTTGGCCGCGTTCGCTGTTTGGGTGTGCCGTCACCCGTCGAAGAACTAAAAAAAGTGGGCATGTGTTAGTCCTAGTTCTTAGTTCGCTCCGTGATGCGGCGCCTCTTTGTCACCTACCTGATACTCGCGAACCAAAGGGTGAGACCAGGGCGACAGCAATAACGCCGGGAAAGGATGCTTTGTGTGGATGGAGGTCGACTCGTGCAGCCTCGCTTGCGCTGAGCGAACCATTCTGCAGTGTGAGAATCGGAAACAGCCACACACGCACCTGCGCCCCTTCTAGCAGTCTGGTGCGGACGTCGCTCAGAGGTCCCGCCCATATGTCTAGAGGTCGGAGTTTCTCCTGCACGTGCCTGTATCGAAGAAGATGTGTTTTCGGGGGGGGGGGGGGGGGGGGGGGAGGGCCGGGGTCCCCCCTTCATATCCCGGGGAAAAAATTAAAACAAGGCCGGGGTTTTTTTTTTTTTAAGGCCCTGGGAGGGGCCCCGAAACGGCTTCTTTTGCTGG